TGATCCATCTGCGCAAACGGTTACGTGATTGGATGCCAGTCCTTTAACAAATGATATGGCCTATTACCCTCTATAAAACATGCTCTAATTCTGTCGATAAACGTAAGCATTTGCTGCTATCAATTACTCGTGTATTTCATTGGTGTCAGCAGTTTGGGTTAAAGCCGAACCAGTTCTGAGCATTACAGTACGAGTTCTCGTATTCCGATATTCCATACTATTCTGATTACTACAAGAAACTTTTGATCAGAATCAAAATTACAAGAAGACAACTTATGCTATCGTAGATGCAGAACACATTCGATGCTTGTACACACATTGGAGATGTCTGGTACAGAAGCAGGAAACAAAATTCAATTAATCATCTTGTTGAACTCTTGGTCTAAGTATTTGATCATGCACGAATATATGATGAATTCACAATACTGCGTCTCATTCTCGGTGGAGTCGAACTATACTGTCCCATTTCCGCATTTCTTTTAATTTTGGCGGCATCGGGATATCGCTGTGGGCTCATGCGGACTATGGTGATAAAGAATACTGCGACCACCACTACTTCAAAAGTTTAACTAGTACGGCCCCGGTCGAACAAGAGAGGGATTTTTGAGATATTTGGGACAAGTATACTTAGTCTATAAACAATTTTATTGGATTTTGATCGCTGGAAATGGAAAAACACAATTTTAAATCAAGACTATTTCATTCTTGCATTCACTTTTCATAGGAAAATGGTAGATACAGGGTGATTTCAACTAAAAATACGATCTAGAGAAGAATATCAAGCAGGATCATCAGTACCAAAGCAGCCTGTGATGATCCAATGCTCCGTGACCTGATTAGTAAAGGAGCAACTCGATACAGCTTCAGATCGATCAACGAGGAGCCGATGTTTTGGACCAATCACAAACCATTTGGTTCAAACAGGAATCGCGTGTCTACAAGAACATGGACTATGATTGATCAATGCTATTTCAGCCAATGATATTCTGTTATCTTCTTATTTCTCGCAATAAAATAAGCGCTAATTCGTGGCCTTATTCCTACGTTTCGGTATCCGGAAGTCGCGGTAAACGATTACCGGTACAATTTTGTGTTTCGCTTGTGATTTTGACTCCTGATTTGCTTTCGTTGCGACTACTACACAACCTCATCTAACATGGTTCGTTTAAAGCGATAGAGATGTTATGTTCTTCCTGAATGATTCAATCTGCCATATTTTGGTAGAAGTCATGTCTTTGTAAGTGCCTCAAGGTGTCGTCGTTGCGGACAACACAGTTATGAAAAGTTACTGGGTTCAACTATCTTCACCGGATTAGCCTTAGGCGTATTTGCCAGAAACGGCGCGTAACGAGCAAAACTCATTGTGGCCGTATACACGGGACACCAGACCGAGATCCCCGCAAAGGATGTATCAGTTCACACACTCACCCTCGCACTTTTAGCCCTGCCCTTCGTATGCCTGACCTCAATGTATGATGCTGCCTGAGCTCCCAGAAGTGAACCGG